AGTACACTTTAACTGCCCTGGCTCAGTGCTAGGGAATCATGGGAAGTGTAGTTCTTTTCTGAGGCATTGAGCCTTCTCTGTCAGAGAGCTCTGATGCCACAATAAACTACAGTTCCCATGATTCCCTAGCACTGAGCCAGGGTAGTTAAAGTGGTCTCAAACTGGATTATTCCTGGCAGTTTGGAAAGGCCCTTAGTTCAAAGGAATCAGCAGGATTCTAGTTCTGATCTACAACTCACAGGGATGAGAATTTAGCTGTCCATGTTAATCCATATGTCTCCATTTGTTCCAATGCAGGATTTGGCATGTATGTGTGTGTGTAAATACATAGGTTAAGATAAATTTCCTATGTAATATAAGGAATGTACATATTTAAGTTTTTAAAAAGTATTTATATATATAATTTAATGCCAATTCTTTAAATGGCAGAATAAGGCGGAAGCTAAATGAAACTTAGGGGGGTTGCAGACTATCAAAAATAGTGTGAATTCAGTCCACTTTTAGGGTTAGGGTTAAGGTTAGGGAATCATGGGAACTGAATTTTATTGTGGCACTAGAGTTCTCTGACAAAGAAGGTTCAATGTCTCAGAAAAATAACAATTCCCATGATTCCCTAGCACTAACCCTAACCCTAAAAATGGACTGAATTCACACTATTTTTGACAGTCTGCAACCCCCCATAGTTATGGATAAAGCTATGTGATTGTAACACAGGTCACACAAAGCAGATGTAAATTTCAAACAGGTATAAGTGTCAAATTGAAGCTGTTGAACAGAAGTGGGAAAACTGTGGTTCTTGCCCCCTGGAGCCATTTGGTCCAACCTGTAGCCCCCACAACCTGAAAAAGTTTGGGGATAGAACTTATTCAAAAATGGTAAATGTCATCCCCTCCTCAACTGCACCTAACAACAGCAGCCATAACAAAACCAGTCCCAAATACCCAGGAATGGAAACAGTTTTGGTTTGAGCCCATTTTAGGGATGATGTGGCCTACCACTACGGCATGGAGCAAAAACTGGCCTCCATGGTCTCTGCTGTTGCTCATTTTTATTAGAGGAGGAAGAGGGAACCATCATATGGCACTACTATGCCACAGCAAAAGCAAATTACTACAGAGTCCAGATTATATTACATTGCTACTTGCTGTCAGGAAATTCCTCCTACCTAATTCTAAACCTGATCCAGTTAGACTTAGCAATATTGCGGCTTATACCAAAAAGCATTTGGGACCTCAGTGTGCTACAAGGAGAGAGAGAAAGGAGGGGGGAGAGAGATTCAAATGAGATCTGATTTCCTGAAAGGAAATGACTTGACCTTCAGAAACAAATCTGATCTGAAGCCATGAAAAAAGTACACATGTGTATGCCATTGTTATTTTATTATACAGCTTGGCTGTGATCAGGGATAAGAGTATCAGATGTCTGATGCTGAGCAAGATCAAAGATGTGGCTATAGTCTAATAAAAACAGTGATCATGATTGACCTCAGCCAACCTGCAAATATACAGCTCTCCCAGCACCCCCAGGTAAAGGTTTCAATTTACTGACACTCTTCACCTCTCATGCCACACACGCAAAACATTATTGCTTCTAGGAACAACTATTAATCAGCTTCATCCATTTGGGCTACTGGCAAGTGGTTCGTTCCAGCAATTAATGCATTATTTCTAACAGCTGCATACCCTAGACAGCCATACCTAGGTAGTTTGGCATGGTGCACTATCACCAGCACATGAAGTAATGATTAAAACACAGCTCCACTGAGCCGGAAAACCCAATGCATACCCCTCACCCCACCCCATCTCTCCCCTTCCCACCAGCACTTTACAAGATTCATTATGTGACTCTATGTGAATGATACTTGACCCATTGGCCTCCATGAAACATGGATAATACCCAACCCGTGGGATTGTTGGAAAGTTCCCTTGGAACGTGCATAGAACAAGTTTTGAAGTGTTCAGAGGGGAAGGGTGTAAAATAAGGCTATTGTTTCACAACTCCACCATGCATGCTGCGCCTGAAGAAAGATCTGTTGAAGAACATCAGCAGATGTTCACCTCAGTCATGAGTGTTCTCTCCAATTAGCCTGAGAAAAGATATGATTTGATACACACGCACACACTCCATGACTGAGATGGAGTAGAATGGAGTCCACAGTCATTTGTCTCTGTAACTGATTTATGGTGCCATGGTGGGAAACAGAAGTCTTTGGACTCCCAATGGTGGAGAGATGAGAAGAGGGGCAGCTGAAGTGACATCTTGAAGAAGGAGGAGTCTGGAGGAGACCATAATAGTCTTTGTAAGGAACCAATGGGAAGTCATTCACTTCAGCATCCTAATTCCCTGTGGAAAGAATATTGGAGAGATAATGGTAAGGACTAAACAACATCCCCTCTCCCAGCTGCATTATGTGTAATTTCAAACATCAGCTAGCTTTTCACTTCTGTAGACAGAAGGGTCATTTGTAAAATGTTCCCATTGCTCTGCATTGCTTCTTTTCAAGCTGCAATGTCAATTGATCCCACAGGCAAAATGGCCTTGCTGCTTCTAACTAAAATCCATTTTTTAACTAGAAATTTTGTTCTGATTTGCTCCCAGCCATGCAATCTGTGACCTGCCAAGAAGGCAACCCATCAGCTTTGTATTTCTAGCCTGATATATGCCCTTTAACCCCCACCCTTGGTTTTGTAGTATGAGATGAGCAACACAAAAGCATGTTTCATAAATATCTCAGTGAGCTGTCAGGATGCTGAAAAGAATACTCCACCATTCTTCTGATTCTCCCTATAGAAACTCTTTATTTAGTGACTTTGTTCTTTTAACATGCCAAAAAACTCCATATCATTATGGAATAGTATTTCATCTTTTTTGTTCATTGTCTTAGTGTTGGGCATTTGTTTACACATTGCTAGAAAATAGGAAATGTATCATAAAAAAGAGAGTGCCTATTCACATCTGCTGATGTTTGCATCTAGACGCACATTTAAATAGAATGGGTATAATTTAAACAGAAATACAAAACACATTACATAGTGGGGAAGATTTTAATTAAAGAGCCAGTGTTCTGTAGTGGTTTGAGTGTTGGACTATGACTCTGGAGACCAGGGTGCAATTCCCAGTTTGGCCATGTCACACCCTCTCAGCCTCAGGAGAAGGCAATGGCAAACCTCTGGACAAATCTTACTTAAAAAAAAACCCATGATAGGTTCATCTTAAGGTTGCCATAAGTCAAAAATGACTTGAAGACACACAACACACATGTCTACACTGTAGAAATAATTTAGGTTAACACTACTTTAAGTATGATAGCTCCAGCCTATGGAATCCTGGAATTTACGAGGTCTTTAATCTCATCTGCCAAAGAATGCTGGTACCCCCCTGACTACAAATTCCAGGATTTCATTATTTCTGCAGTACAGATACACCCTATGTGGCCCACATGCCTCCTCATCCTGAATAGTCCAGATACTAAATTTAGATGGTCAACTTTAAGATTCCTGCTCTTCTTATATTTAATATTCACTGAACTAGATTTAGACTGGAGAGTCCTCCAAACAGAGAATTATCTTCAGTAATATAAACAAATGATACCACACTTAGTGATCTTTGTGGCATTTCCATAAGGTAGGCTAGTACTATTATTATGAGACTATTCAAAGAATCATGCTAAGTCTGAATGAAGGGCTGTCTAGTCTAGCATATGGTTTCTCATGGTGGGCAAACAGATGCTTCTAGGAAGCCCACAACCAGGCTTTCACTTGCTCTGTGAAGGCAAGAGCTCCCACCCTCTGTTGATCCCCAGCAATTGATCATAAAATCCTTGAGCTGGAAGAGACCACAAGAGCTATCCAGACCAACCCCCTCTCCACGGAGGAAGACATAATCAAAGCACTTCCTAGAGATGACCATCCAGCCCCAAAGATGGAGACTCCATCATATTCTGAGGGAGAGTGTTCCACTGCTGAACTATTCTTACCATCAGGAAGGTCTTCCTAATGTTTAGGTGGAATCTCTTTTCCTGTAGTTTGAATCCGTTGCTCTGTGTCCTAGTCTCTGGAGCAGCAGAAAACAAGCTTGCTCCATCCTCAACACGACACCCCTTCAAATATTTAAACAGGGCTATCCTGTCACCTCTTAACCTTCTCTTCTCCAGGCTAAACATACCTAGCTCCCTAAACCGATCATCATCGGGCATGGTCTCCAGGCCTTTCATCATCTTGGTTGCCCTCCTCTAGACAAGCTCCAGAGGCATGTTCAGGAGCATGCTGTCTTCAATACTGGAGGTGAAATATAACCACTATGACCAGATGATGTCCATATTAGAAATGGTGATGGAGTGGGAATCAGATTTGTGGTTTGCCTAAGATCATCTATAGAATTCATGGTAGAATTGAGGTCAGAATCAGGAAATTTACAGCCACTTTCCAGTCTCTGAGAATCCAAATCAGAGTGGATCTTATAAAACTTAAAATAGCACTTGCTTTTTGCAGTGCTGTTTCACACTGACATGGGGCCCATTCACACTATACAATTATAGTCCTACATTCTACTTTAACTACCATACAGTCCTGGAATTTGCAGTGTAGGCAGGGGCCCTTAGAATTCTCAATCAGAGAGCTCTATTGGGGCACTAAACTACAATCCCCAGGCTTCCGTAGTGTAGAACATTATCAGTTAAAGTGGAATGATAGCACTATAATTGGGTAGTGTGAATAGGTCCTTGATGACTTCATGGAATTACTCACCACAACCGCAAGACCACAATATCCCAGTGTTTCCATACAATTAAAAGTATTAAACTTGTTACAATGGCAATCTTGCATACATATCAACCACTTGACTCATTGAGTTTAACAAACTGAATGCAGGATTGCATCTCTAATATGCAGTAGTATCTAGATCAGGAGTGGGCAGCTACACAAGCTTTGGGGCCCTCATCAGACCCAAGAGGGCTGGAATCCCCTTATATGATTTTTTTGACACACAGGTTGCCTCCTTCTACCACCATGGCACAGAGGTTTGAGTGTTGGACTACAACTCTGGAGATCAGGGTTTGATTCCCACTTGGCCATGAAACCCACTGGGTGATGTTGGGCATGTCACATGCTCTCAGCCTCAGGGGAAGACAATGGCAAGCCTCCTCCGAACAAATCTTGCCAAGAAAATTCCAGGTTAGGGTCTCCTTAGAGTTGCCATAAGTCAAAAATGACTTGAAGGTACACAACACAGCAGACACCACCAAAAAAACCCTCTGGGGCATATCAGAACAATTTCATTATGTTTTGCTAGGCCAAAGAGACCATTTTTAAAGAAGGAAATAAAATGGCTGGAGCCTCAAAAACAGTCTTGGAAGCCACATTCATATGCTTTTTCTATTTCTGAGATAGATAAACACAGAGAGAAAAACAGACAGACAGAAAGAACTATACGCTATGTTCACTGTAGAACTGATGGAGAGAAATGAGTTTCCATTTCCCAGTATTAGTTCTTTGCAAAAAATAAAATAAAATAAAAATCATTTCCCAAGTGCTTTCTTTTTGCTCTTTGAGACATTTGGAGTTGTTCTTTAAATATTTAATTACCTCTTTTGGTTTATGAACAAGCTCTGAACAGCCCCTAGGGTTCCACTTGACATTTTCTTGCCAATCTCTCCAGCTTCAGGTGTTCCAGACATCATGTTTCAAAAATAAATCTGGAATCAATTTAGTTAAACCATTAGGCTACCCTGTGTAACATCGCAGCATTCTCCTCCTTTCAATCCCTGCTTTGAAATCTTCCCTTATGGGACATTTATCAACAACCAGACTTGTAAGGTGGAAAGGGGATTTTCCTGTTGCTAATTACACAGTACTGTGATGTTTCTGTTCTTTCAAGTAAAGCAGAGGGGGAGATCAGGAGATGGAGGCAGAAGCGGCAACATCAGTACCCTTGAATTGCACTGCTTTTTTCCCACTAGTGCCAGCCTTACCATTTGGCAGAGGTGGACAAGCAGCTCAGGTCACAGATTGACAGTCCCTAGCTATTCTTCCTGAGTTTCCCAAGCATTCCTTTCTGTTGGACAGAGTACTAGAAGTCACACAGCCTTCTCTGTGCCATTAATGTGCTAACTTCAAGTGAAGTGGAGTCTATTGGCCTCCTTCAGTTCTGAAATAAGAATAAATTGCCAGTCCATTTGGAATAGTGAATGCAACATGAATTGAGTTAGGGGAGGTGCCTTCCTTTCTTTTCTTTCTGAAGCAATTTAGACCAGGGGCCCATTCACACTACACAATTATAGTGCTATTCTTCTACTCTAACTGCCATGGCAACATCCTATGGATTCGTGG